ACTCTTTCTCTACATCTTTACATCCACTGACTCTCATTTTTATTCTGTGGGTTGTGTAGAGCCATTCTGTAGCACGAGTACAGACAAACACAAGAGTCTCTTACTTTACTTGAATCTAGGAACATACTTTTGCTTTTCACACGTGAAAGATGCATGCTTTGATGACTACTCAAAATAAACAGCATGTACTAGAACCACGCAAAAAAGCGTCGGGTTCATGTATTGGGAGGAGGTGAAGTTGTCTGAATGAGGGTCCCACAGACACTGGCTGGTCACCATGATATCTACGGTCTCGTCTTGGTCTTTGTTTCCGATGGTGACGTTGACAATTAACTTATACCGAGGAGGGGTGACTGTCTTGACCAGGCGTTTTATTTCTTCACTTACAGTTGTACTGAGGCTGGCGCCTTTCTCAGGCTCATAGGTAACATGTGCAAGTTTGGTTGGTAAATATTCTCTGATCAGCTCCTCTGCTTTGGCACAAGAGAATTTTTCTTTTGGGTTTGCAGCTGAGTCTGGGATCTGTAACAAAGGGTCAGTTCATGTAATTTGTATTAGAGAAGCTAGTCAGGATTGAGACCAGATTATATTAGATCCTGCACAGACGCACATACCTATATGTGTGTGCATGTGTGCCGTGTGCATCACAACGCGTTCTCTCCTAACCATACGAACCTCTACAGTTTCAAAGAGCTTTGTGGGCTTGGAAAACCACACAGCTTCCCTTCCCACCAATGAGAGTGGTCTCTTATTGCTAGGTATCTGGAATTATCCTATGATGGACCCAAGCATACTACTAATGCAACTGTTTCAGTGCATGGGGATTACAACGAAGTTGTCCCCCCAGCACAAAATGTGGTTCTGGACCCTGGATTTTGCTTTTAAAATGGGTTTTGATCCCATCTGCATGGTAATATCAAGCCTTGTTTTAATCGTGTCGGGGAAGCCATTGCGCTGTTGTTGATGGTTTTATGACCATGTCCTCTCCAGCAGGGAAGCTACATGGTACTGATCATGTCAGAGCAGCTGTTCATGAATCATCGGTCTAAGTCCAATACTGGAATTACTTTCAGAAAACCTGAAGTAGGTTCTGTCTTTCCTGGCTAAGACCTCAGGAGAGGAATCTTCCCAAGACGGCCTTCAGACACATTTTTAAAAGCTTTGCTTGCGCACATCTGGCTTTGAAAATCTGACCCACTAGAGACTTTGCTAAGAGCCTGTGAAACAGGGAAAACTTCGAGTTAGCTTTGGAAAAGCATTTCAGAGCAAAAGCTGGGACTATTCCTTTAAATCCAACCCCAATATGTCTGGGTATTTCAGCACATATGGAACATGATGGTTAGAACCCTGCCCAGCTGCTCTGGCCAGTCTGCTGTGAAAATGTCTCTTTATTCATGGCTAGAAGGGAGGGTAGTGAGAGACAGACCAGGCTGCGAGTACTGTGGATTGCCATCCTGCACAGGAAGGGGGAAGCTCGGTCTCCAGCATCCTTTGGGCAAAAGAAATTCTTCAGGAGAAATTCTGCTTGTGACCCTGGGAATGTCAAGATCCTTCAGCAGCGACTCGTGGGGTCTTTAAGGACAGTCCATGCTGGAGCAGTGCTCAGTGCGCTTTGTTTTCCATTAGCCACAGACGCTCCCCCCCACCTACTTATGTTCTCGCTCTGCAGGAAGGATCTCACATGCTGAAAAGCTTCCTTCTGCTCAACCTTGAATTTGCCCCTCTGCTGGATAAGATAGCCCAAGTTGGAGGGGGTTGCAGGGGGTGGGGGGATCTCAATTAGTGTTTTGTGATTAAAAGCCGGCAATCCTATGCATCCTGCTGCCCAGTGCCTGTGTGCCCCGGCTGCTCTGTTGGCAGGGTTCTGCCCCTGCTTTCACCTCCTGCAGGAAGAGGAGTTTCCTTGCTTTTTCAGAGATGCTGGGAGCAGGTCAGAGAAAGATCCCACAGGGAGAGTTTCATTGGGAAATGGTGCGATATTGATTTCTCCATCAATTATTAACTGGATTCTTAGTGCTGCGTGTAGAGCCCTCCCTGAAGATGCAGATGGCTCGTTTATCGCCAGGAGGCAGGGATCACATCCTGCGAGCTCCCAGCCAGCACTGGCCTGCTCCCTGCAGGACAGTTGTAATGCTCTCCCCGCTCCCAAGCAATGGGACTTTAACAACTTCCCCAAGGAAGCTCCTCTGCAGCCTAATGCAGCTCTCGGCCAGGAAGGATATTTTTCCTCTGATGGGCAACCTAAGTATCCTCTTAATTTCATCTCATCATTTCCTGCCTAAATAATTTCTCTTCTTTCTTGGCACTGTATTGAAACCTTTGGTCTTCTCTGAAGTCCTGCAGTTTGCTGCCCTCCCTCTGCTCTAAGTTAATCCCATTCTTTTTTCAATTTATGATCTGGTAGAGCTCAGGTGAGACGCAGGTACTGCACGAGCCCATTTCTAGTGAAGTCCAGTGGCTCTGGGACAAATGAATTACACTGGGTCGGATCCAGAGCTCCTTGCCCTTCACAGAAGCACTCCTGTTTGAACAGGCCAAGCTGACTGATCGTATTAATTCCTCCCCACACCCTCCATCCCAGGATTGCACAGCTGACAAATGGCAAGGCTTTGGTTTGGCGCAGCTTCCAAACTGCAAGCCCCAGGTCACGAGAGGGTGAACGTGTCACCCGGCTGATATATGGTATCTCCAAGGAGCAGATCGCAGCTGGTCAGCCTGAACAGCCCCTCCAGTGCCTCTCCTCGCTAGCTGGGGAGTGTCATTGTATCCGCAGGGTACAACAAATGGCACAAGCTGGTGTCACAGGAAGGGACAGGGAAGAGGAACAACACAAATAAACCACACATCCTAGTCCCAGTCATTGCATACTAGGCAGGCAGGCAGCTTGGTGCTGATAGTGGCCAGTGACAGATGCTCGCGAGGAAGATGGGAAACCCAGAATGCTCTGCCCAATTGCACAGCAAAGCAGCCCTGGGGAAACATGTGGGTCTTGAAACCAGATACCAACAGCCCCACTCCTTCTAGTGTGAGGGTTCATTGTCCCATTGCTTTTTGTCCCCTTGGTGCAGATCTGGAGGCTGGTAATCCTAAGGACTGGATCCACAGGGTCTGCCAATGCCACCTGGAGCTGCGGACACTTGGCATCGCTGAATCTCAGATGCTAAAGCCTTGCCACTCCTTGGTGAAAGGTTCTAGCAAACCCCTGGTAACCTCAGTCAAATGGACAGGGCAAGCTTGCCATGCTAGACAGTGGTACCCTCCAAGTTGCTGCCCTGCTCCACGTGGGCTCTCGCTGAAACTGGAAGCAGTGTGGTTATGTCTGTCTCTGGGCATTTGTAGAGGATACTTTAAAGCGGGTTTAAAGAGGGTTAAATGCCTTTTGCACTGCTTCAGTGGCATTGCTGTTTGCACATTCGGCGACATATTGCACGTTAATTCCGGCCACAGTAGCACATTCGGCGGTGTAATGCGCCTTAAATGACTTTGGGACGTAGCAAATGATTTTGGGATGCTGTAAAGTAAAATACCTCCAAGGAGTTTTAGTTTCCTACCCTACAGCTGCGGAGGGAAGTACTGGGCTCCGTGCGGCTCAGGGGCTGTGCAGGCAGACCATGCAGGCAGCCCGGCAGCAGCCTGGGAAGGCAGGCTCCACAAAAGGAAAAAAAAAAGAAGTGGCGGGCCTGATCTTTCCCCCCTGGAGCCTGCCTGCCTGCCTGAGCTGCACAGGGGCCTGGTGCTTCCCTTCGCGGCTGCAGTGCCCCCGGGACTACCCGAGCCGAGTGCCTGTGGGCGGGTGCCACCCGAGCGGGGGGGCTGCCACTGCCGCAGAGGGAAGCAACAGCCCCACCCACAACCCAGGGACCGCTCCGTCCGCCGGCAACTCTCCCTCCCTTCCCCACTGCTGGAGAGGCAGGTAAGGATTGGGCTCTGACACCGGTGTACACGACACGGGGGTTTACTTTGCCCTAAATTGAACTGGTGTTTTTAAAAAAACCACTGCCTCAATTTAGGAAGAATTAAACCTCCATGTCGTGTACAAATGCCCAAGGTGCTACAGTCAGGCTAATTATCAGGGGGTGGGCTAATTGGCCCTGCCCCTCTGCAGTGCAGAGTAGCTCAGCCAAGAGCCGTGCTGATGCAGCAACACCACTCCCAGTTTACGAGGCAGCCTGTGTGGTACAGTGCACCATGTTTGGGGGCGCTGCTGTCTGGCACAGTAAGTTTGCTGTGTAGCCATGCCCTAGCGCAAAGTAATGTCCCAGTAGGCAACTCCTGAGCTCTTGCTGATGTGCGTGGAAGCTCCAAGCTGCTTTATCTTCATTTTTTAACTCACGTTATCTCAGTGTCTAACTCAAGGTATGAAATTCACTCTTCTTTCTAAGAGAGGCCCAGTCCTTGGGCCTGATTCAAAGCCACTGAGTGGGATCAGACTCGGCTGGGTTTTCCAAAGGCGCTCATCTTCCAAGCAAGTGCTGCAGTGAGCCCAGCCTGTGTGTGCTTTGAAAACCCGGCTGTAAGCACTTACCCCCTCAGCAAAATGTTACTGAACTGAAATAATGCTCGCTGGGCTCGGTTCTGAAAGGGGCAGGTTCTGTCCAGCTATTCAGTCATATTCCCCATCATGCAGGGGCGATGTGTAGCGGGGGCACAGAGGAGCACGTGCCCACCCTGAGATTAGCTGCCATCAAAGCCACCATCAGCTTCTGCGGGCAGTCACCAACCCCCCCACCCTTGCTGTCGACGTGGCTGCAGGCGGACCCCACTCACTGCTTGCTGCCGCTGACAGCATGGACAGTGGCTGCAGGGGGTCCCCACTCGCCGCTCACCACTTGCCACCCCCCGCCGCAGACACTGCCGCAGCTGCCTGCGGGCTGTCTCCGCTCACCGCCAACATGCCCCCGCCGCCAACACCACCGCCTGCGGGCAGTCACCGTGCCTCCCCAGCCTCTGGGGGCACACATCGTTCATGCCATCGTGACATCTGTAATATGTCACTGAAAGAGTCCTGAGCCCAGTCTCATCCAGCCTTTTCAGGGGAGCACTGTAGTTGTAAAAGAGGCCAGTTCCAACATGCCTGCTGCCATCGCCCTTCAATGGTCAGTCTTCATTGCCCTTACCCTCAACTGTGGGCACATCTACATGAGACACTTACTGCGCATTAGCCTAATAACACTGCAGTAGAGCGTCATGGCAAAAACCACGCTAATAGCCTACTGCGCAGTGTTGTTAGGCTAATGCACAGTAAGTGTCACTAAATAACTGTGCTGGTGCTACTCCACAGCAACTTTAGTTATTTCACATTCAGTTAGTTCTTCATTAAAGAAGTACTAAACTAAATGCACAGTATTTATGGTGCGTTAATGAACGTGTAGGCATGCCCTGTATGGCTGACCAGAAGAGACCAATCATAAACAAGTCAAATAAATGAACCCGAGGCAGCAAAAGGAGCACATACCTGCTCATTGATGATGGTGATGGGCTTGTGATGAGAGACCTGGAGTCTTGATTGTCTTCGGGCAGCAGTTCGGTTCTGAGAGTCAAATGGAGGTTTTAGTAGACGCTGATGTCCCACAGCAATAGCACAACAGTTAACCCTTTATTCTTAGACTTCTGAATTACCCATTCATCCAGGCTTTTCCCTCCGTACCAACCTGGTAGCTTGGTGCCAGGGTGAACCCACGCTTGTGCCACTATATAAGAGAATTGTGTGCTTCCATGAAGCACACTAAAAGCCCACTCGGGCGTGAACATCTGGCCCGTTAGTTTTCTGGAATATCCCTACTAACCGACACTAATCACCATCTACTTCCCGTTATCATAGTGATATGACAGGCTAGTGACCCTGCCAGCTGTCACCTTTGGGGCCATTGCTGGATGGGCTTAAGAGACTCAGGCTGTACATACACCCTGCACCACTGACCTGCATAAGGGGCCAGCAGGCACCACTGTAATACATGGCTGTACTCCAGCGTCTTCCACCAAGCATTTCAAAGCACTCTATAGGAGTTACCTAGTTAAGCTTTACATCCGTTTGAGGTAGGTAAGGGATCACTTCACCCCTATGGAAATACAGGCACTTCTGGGGCTGAGGGTAACAATACTGTCCACTGGAATAAAGGAATTTACACAGATATTGCCTGGCTTGCAATACAATTTGAAATGGATTGCACCTCGTGTCATTTTCTGTCCAAGGATCTCAACATGCACTCTGAGCATGGCTGAGCTTCACCCTACTCGGTGACACAAAAGCAGGTTGCAGGGAGAACAATCATCCCTGAGTCACCGTTGAAGTAACCATGCTACCGAGAGGTTGCAAAATGCCCAAGGTCACCCAGGAAATCAGCAGCTAAGCTGGGACCAGAACCCAGATCTCCTTACACCTGGGCCTGCGCTTTAACCACAGACTCGTCCCTCCCAGTCAAAGCAGCTGAGGGAATTTAGATGTAGTGTCATTTACTCGAGTTGGAATTTGTCCCGGACACTGTGGTTAACACCTTGTCTCCTACTGAAGCATTTTTCTAAGGGCTCCTTAGGGCTTTGTAACAACTCCTTGTTTGTTTAACTAAAGGGAATAGGCAGCCCTTTAATACACTGTGTGGTTGAAATGGGAGCTATTCTGTATTGGTCTTCAGTGGCTGGACACCTCTACCTGTACGGTAGGCCTGGGGCTAAAGTGCTTTGCATTGGTGGTCCATTGTCTCCAATACCAAACACCTTGTCTTTAGCACCCCAGCCCCTTTACACAAGCTTATAATGGAGAAGAGTGGCAGCTTGTGGCCCAAGGAGTTAATACCAGCCTCTTGCTAGCAGCTCCGACAGCTGCCTGTAGCAGGTGAGTTGTGTGGGAGGGGAGTTAAACACATCATTATTGATTCCTGCATTGAGTAAAATGGATTTAACCCCAGGGCTAATCGTGTTAGCAGAGGCTGGTTGCGAAGGGCCAGGTACGATAAGAAGTCGGAACAGCTTTCCTCAAGGGATTTGCTCTGAGAAAGAACGACGCCAGGCAGGAACGGGGCGTACAACGGTGTCTCTGCCAATGATGCCAACCAGGGCGAGGAGCACCCCAAAAAGCTTTCCGTCCCTGTGATCTAGGCCAGCGTTAGAGTGATGAGGCTGGTCTAAAAGACTTGGCCTCGGTCCCACTGCTGGGAGCCATTCATGCTGTGAAGCAGAAGGCTGTGAAAAGCTTTCCCTCCCTTTCTTGTGGGGTTTTTTTTTGCTAGACCCAGCGCAAGGCCCTTGAAGACCAAAGGCTTGTCCTCCCCCTCGCCCTCTCCCAGCTGGACAAGCTGGTTCAGACATTTCATCTCCCAAATCTTGCTTCTCTCCCTCGGGCAGTGGAAGTACAGCAGCAGAGAGGTTTGCCCGGCGAGTTGTCAGGCTGGCACTAAGCACCCGCACCCCTCTGCTTTGCTCGTGCATCTCAGACAGCCTGGACACAGCTGCCTTGAGGAACGATACACCAGCTGCTTTCCTCTCCTGGTCTCCACCCTCCTGGCATCTGCTAAAGGGAATGGTTTCGGCACAGACTGGGGGGTACTGGCTCCTTACTGGGAGGTGGATCTGGCTTGGAGTCCCGTCCCCCCCGTCTAACCCGTGATACCTTGAATTCCTTTGAGAATCTCTGGGCAGCGAGGAGCCCCCTCAGGCTGATGGCTGCTTTGCTCTCAGCTGGTCTTGTGGTTTCCTTGCCCAGCTGAAGCTTTGATGAGGACCCGCCAGCAGCAGAAATGCCCAGGGCCTGGCAGGGAGCACACGGACCGAGAAGTGAATGAGTTTGGGGGCCTGCGAGGCCGTTCAGGACACTTGTGGCAGAGTTTAGGTCTGTGATCTAATTGTTTTTAGCACAGCTGTCTCAGCAGTTTGTGTCTCTCAGCAGTTCGTGCAATCCCAGCTAACCACCCACCGGCAGACTGTCAACCTGTCCCCAATTCAAAGTTAAAAAATAGTAATTCACCCCGTTGGCCAAACCACCTTGTAAGACCCCAGCGTAGCCCCATCCATCCCACCCCACAGCCCACCCGCCCTGCCCCTGGCTGGGTGCTCAGCAAGGGAAGCATTAACAGGCACAGCAAAGACCATGCCTGCATCTCAAAAGTGGGCGCCTGGGTACCATTCCCCCCCTTATTTAGATGAGAAGACCACCCCACCCCCAGCTTCCTCTTTAAGTGTCGTTCATGTGCTTACTACCTTGTATGTGGTTTGACAGCCATTAATTGTCCTATCTTACTTTAATTGTGCTTCAGCTTGGGTGGGGCTGGGGGAAGAAGTTCTGTATACATATTATTATTGTTATTATTGCCCATAAAATAAATCCAGACCTTGGCACAGAGCATTTCCTGGGAATTAATGACCGATTGGTGATAATGGTCCTCAGCTGCACCTCAGGCCATCAGCTCCTCCCAGCTGGTCATTAATCCACAGGAAATGTCTTGAGTATTGATCCTTATTGCTTAATTAATAAATGCAACTTGTCTCACTGGTTTAGATTTAGAGATGGACTCCTCTTCTTTCCTCACTGCTTTGAAGGTGACTTTCCTAGCGCATGTCTCTCTCGCAGCCTTTTCCTTCGAGGCCTTTGGGTCCTTTTGTTTCCTGGCATTCATTGGCGCGCGGGCTTGTGGCAGCAGTAAAGGACTGAGCTCGGAGGCGGAGGCAGAGGCACGACACACTGCTGTAGCCGGCACTTGCACTTCTCCGGCTAATGCAATGTGGCACGAGAAACAAATCTTTCCAAACCAACACAAAGTCTTGATTATCTGCAGCTGATTACATCTGCCCAACAAGAGCCCGCACAAAAAGGGGAGCGTGAGCTGTCGAACAAGAACATTATAATTCTCCAAGGTCTTGACGTTCTCCGTGAGAATCAATTTCTTGCCCATGAGTCACGATCCATCTTCAATACATTTTTTTTTAGGGAAATTTGCTATCTTTAGTCCTAGCCGCCTTCTTTCAGAAACAACTGTGCTAATTAGGCACTGTTGCTATTCCGCTGAGGTTTAAAATTCAGGTCTGATGGCCACAGCTGACCGGGAGCCAGGATTTTCTAGTGTTACAAGTGGTTATGGATGCTTCCATCCAAAATGCCCAGCGGGAATCACCATCAAGGGCTGGATTTTCTGAAAAAGCTGAGCACCAGCCCCTCAAAATGCAGCCCCTTAAAGTGCCCCAGGTTGAGCACCCAAAACATGGGTCATCCAAAAGCACTAGTCATTTGCTTGAAAAATTCAGACTCCAGACTGTTATGGCTTTTAAGACTAGATCACCTAGAATTTGCCTGTCTGCAAATAGACATTGGCTTTGTGCCACCATAAAAAGGATTCCCCACTTACAGCTGGGACACCAGTGGCTGTTGTCCCATGGGATTTGGCCCCAGGAGCAACAAGAGGCCAGACCCTGTGGGACAGCAGCTCTGGTGACATCTCTAGATGCCAATGAAGCAGATCAGCCATGCCAGGACACATCCCAGCCCAGGTGATCCCATTTCAAATACAACGTCTAATTATGTCCTGTGGCATAAATTAAACGGGGTACTTCTCCCTTAGATGAAACGACATTTGCATAAAGATTACCGCTTTAAAGATTGCCTAAATAAATCATGTGCTTCCTGTGCTTTGCAGCACCCTTCTAAGTGGTTTGATTCTTGGAGAACCTTCCTCAGCACTATCCATGTGAGTTTTCTCGTTCTCATGGTGCCAACAAGTACCGAACACTTTTGTCTTAAGTCTCAAGAGTCAGCACCCAATTCTGCTCCCATTTTCAGCTCTGTAAATCACTTCCATCAGCTCAAACCAGCTGGAATTAAGCTAAGTGCTTAGAGCAAAAGCTCAAAACAGATTTTCCCCCTGTACAACTTGACTGCATGTTATATGTAAACGGTAAATCCCTCACAAACACATGCAGCGCTATTGTTGCAGTACACATAGAGTATATGCAGGACACACAGAGACACAGAAGGTAGCAGACATGCATGTCTAAGCAGTGGGTCTACTTGACAACCTTCTCGCATTACACTGCAAAGACTTAAGTTACAGTCACACTCAACTTACTGATGGGTTGGAGGGGAAAATGTTGTTTTCATACCTGCAGGCTGACTTGGTAGCTTCTGCTCAAGACGTTTTGGCAAGTTAAACTTTAACGGGAATGAGTTAAAATGAAATGCAGCCACTTCTACTTAAAAGGATGCACGCTGGTATATACAAAATGTGTTGCTAACACTCCTCCAGCTATTTATTTATACTGTTGACTTTATCCAGTCCACCCTCCATAAACAGTGAGACAAATGAGACTTTCAGTTCTTTCACTAGGGAGAGAGAGAGAAAGGGGGGTTATATAAATTGGATTTGCTTTGTTCTCCTTAAGTCTGCTGATGAAACATTACTCTGTTCACTCTTAGAGGGCAAGGCTTTACATATAATAATTGGTGGGGAGGGGATGTTAAATTATTGTAGGGGTTTTATTTGCATTGGGAAGATAATGGCAATTGTTGTTGTTATTAGGCAATGTCTGAAGACCACAAGGTCTCCTTCAGAGGTAATGCCAATGGAAAATAGCATGGGTGAGTGGCTGAGGAATGAACCAAGGAAGCAGGAGACATGGTTTTTATTCCCAGCTTCACCACTGACCTGCTGTGTGACCCTGTCAAGTAAATTCATGGCCCCCGTGCCTTTGTTTCTCCCACCACTTTCTCAGGACAAGGGACAGTTTGTTGCTCTCCATCTGTTCAGGGCGCAGTACAATGCAGTCCTGCTATTGATTGCGGCCTCTACAGTCTGTCCTGTGACTAACACTGGGAGACAGGACATCCGATGCTTTTGGGTTTGCAATATATCTGGCCAGTTCTGCTCTCCAGGTAGTGGGCTTCTTCCTCTCCCAGTAGAACAGGGCAGGGTGTCAGCTTTGCAAAGCCATGGGTCCACCTGGGATTTTCTGGAGCTCACCTGGAGGCTATTTGTGTGGACCGGACTCACAGGTGAGCCCCTTGGGATGGTACAGTTTGGGAAGCCAGGGTAAGAAGAGTGGCAGGGTCAGTGCTATTTGCTCTGGTAATCCTCACTCAGGTTGCATGAGGACAACGATGACTGACCCAGCAGGAGACATCCACTTTGTTGTGCTGCTTGGATGCCCGTAGCTGCAGTTTGATGCTGCTGCGGGCCACTGCATGGAAATGATGAACTGCACTCACTTCCTCTCTCCTGTCTGGGAGACTGGGAAAGGTTGTATTGTATCATCCACTACTTCCACATCTAGCCCCGTCAGTGAGCTTTTGCCTAGATACCGAAGTGATTCGCATCTGGTAGTTTAGAAGTGGGATGAACACAAAGACATTGACTCTGAGCCTTGCCCGTGTGTTCCCCAAAGGATGGGGGGAAGCCCAAATGTTTCTCTAGTTTAGGGCCTCTGAGCTCATGTACATGTCCTGGGATTCACTTGCTCTTCCAGTAAGGCATAAGGCATTCTGGCATACTACATGGAGGGGTCTTTACTCCCGCAGCTGGAGCTGTACTTCATGCATAGGGTTCTGGTTTCCTGGACTGTCAAGTACTTCCAGCACAAGGACCCTCTCCGTCACCTGAAGACATGGTGTTATACTGAGCATATTGCCCTTACCAGATGATGCCTCCTTACATGACACTTAAACATAGCTGCCCCCTGCATTAGAGTGACATAAGATGATGTGGGCACTGGGTTGGGCCTAACACAGCACCAGGTCAAATGCATACCAATAAATGAAAGTTATTAATCTGTTCTTGTTGTTTATGGAGATTAAGCTAGGAAAAAGTCAACAGAGGAGCGACAGCAACAGTCCTGGAGGGGTAGCAATCTGTTTGCAGACAGCCGGAGAGAATAGCCATGCCTGTTAACGCACACAGTGTCACTTAAACATAGGATTTACTGTTTGGACAACACTCTTCTACCCTACACAGAAAAGTTGGTCTTGACCTGGCCCTCAAGAGATCTGGGTTCAACATTTGACTATGCCAAGGGTGGGCAATTATTTTGGGCGGAGGGTTGCTTACAGCCATCAAGGGCCACATAATAGGCAGCCAGGAACAGATAAATATTAATTTTCTACATTTTTAAGGGCCCCGCGGGCCAGATAGAATGGCCTGGCAGGCCGCATCCAGCCCCCGGGCTGCATTTTGCCCACCCTTGGGCTATGCTGTAGACTTTACATGTAACCTTGGCATGTCATCTCTCTGTCTCAGGTCCCAAACTGTAAAATGTGGCAAATATTTCCTTTCACCTTTTGCCGGTTTCCACCTGAGGTATCCAGGACAGCAGCTGTCTCTATAAGCAAGTACACTGATTAACAAAACGGGGCCCCGCGTTCTGCCAGGATCTCAGCATGGCTCTGCAATGCAAGTGGTGCACGTAGCGCTTGATAGACAGTGAACGAGAGTACCGCCCTGCCACCAGGAACACACAATCCAAGACAGAAAAAAGACAGTGATTAAAAAGGATGGGATTAATCAGCCACAAGGGCTGAACCTGGGGGTGACTTATTACTCACACCCCTTGTTAGCCCCTCTGTATTGCAGTATATTCTATTGAATGGCAGGTCAGGCTGGGGTGATGGTCAGGGCTGGGAAGCCAATTGAAAGTCTTTTTTTGGTATAATCTGTCGGAAACAAATATTTCAGCTCATTTGCCACTAAGTAACCCTGCTTTGTTCTCGTTTTAATGTACCGAGGTCTCCTGTTTCAGCAGCAGCATGTATCAAGCCATGTTCAGAGGCAGTGTGCCCATCACTGGCAGTCCGAGTCTGCTGGGGTGCGAGGGGGTGCTGCAAGACCAGGCCAGAGGCTGCCAGTTGGGGTGCCCTATCTCGTTGACATTTAACCAACCAAATCCTGGGGAAACATTTTCCCCGCTTCCAGACCCAGCTGTGCAGCACAACATCCTTCCATTTTTTTTTCAGCTGGGAGTATTGATTTTGCAGTCACTACTAAATAACCAGCCCGACCCTTTGGCAGATAATTGAGCAAGTGCCTCTGTGTCAGAAGATCCCCGAGTCGTTTACACACGTGTTGCATGGCATCTCTGGGAACGGCACTGAAGCACAGTTTCCTTCAAAAATATGGACTAAAATATGTTCTCTGTTTGTCTTGCTTTTATCAACAGTTGGCTTTGTGCAGCGGGTGCCGCAGTATAAATCAATATAATTCCTAAGGTACTTCTCCACGTTAAGTCTGAAATTCCCATTTTGGTTCACTGTCTTGCATTGTGAACTAAATTATTTTCATTGCCCCTTCAGGGCACATTGTCAGCCCAGACTTACTGCAGTTAGACACCATATCTGCAACATTAATATCTCTTCTAAATATAGTGTATTGACAAGGTATCTGGTATAGTGTAAATCCTAGGGACATTTGATCCAGATCATTAAAACTGAGTGAAGGAAGCAAGGAATAGATCAAGTTACTAATTCAAACAAGCAATGAATTATTCATTCCACTATTAATTCTACCGCCCTCCTGCTTTTTATTTTCTTTCTCTCCTTCCCCCCTACCCCTCCCAGATAGACAGCTTTGAAAATACTCTTGCTCCTTCATGACGGGAGATTTGTTTGCCTCATATCACAGCTTTATCTGAGGATGCAGCATTTTCACATCAGGTGTCTGGTGGCAATAACTTTCTGGTGTGTAACAAATAGGGTGAATGCCAAGAAAGGTAAGGATCTGTTCAGCTGTTCTCCACACCAGGCTGAAGTGACTCCTTTACGTTTGGACTTTGACTCCCAGCTCGGGTAATAGTTACAGGATGCTGGCAGTAGGTCTGACCAGCTGGCAGTGGGTTTGCGTTACTGATGCCTGTTTCTCTGGCCTTAATGTTTTGTTGGATGTATCAATATTTTACGTTGTTTCAGCTCCTGATCCTGGAAGCCCCCAACAGTCCCTACATTCATATCCACATACCCACACGACTAGCCTCATAGGCAGTAATAGAACCCATTTTTATAGTCTGCAATTGCAGGTCGGGACTTATTATTGTGCATTAGTCTTTTTTTTTTTGGATTTACCCATTTCTATGCCTTCTTTAGTGATTGCTCGCTGTATAGATAGTGTAACATTTGTCGATGCAGTGCAGGGCAGCACTGCTGCTTATTCCTTGGTAATCAAGAGTTACTTTGGCATCTCTCCCTTCTCTTGCCCAGGTACAGGGGAGGGTGAGAGGTTATAAATGGACTGTTTGAAGAACAGGGGGACAGCTGAGAGGACTCTCCTGGAGTTACTGGGCTGGGGTAGTTACAGATCAAGGATGGGATATGTTACCTTGCATGCAGGTCTTATGAGGGACAGCCCCTGGCTGGCAGCACTTGTGCTGTGTTTCTGTTGAATCATCCCACCTGCTTGTGCAACAGAGCTTAAGGGCTGGCTCTGCTGAAATAAATGGGACTAGGTTGATTTCTACCAGCTGGTTACAAAGCAGGCGGGTAGTTATGGCTTTGATTTTAGAGTGTAGAAATGTCGCATTTGACCCCCATTGCTAAAATCCTGTTACATTATCTGTAAGCACTGGCAGCATAGCTGTACCTATGTGTTTGGCCTGAGGGTGGCTCTTTTTTTGCACCAGCCATAGGATCAAATGTTTGCTTGTCTTGGGGGTTGCACTTTTATTTTGCTTAAGATTGGCAGTCTGGTTATCTTGGCGTCATGGTCCGGGTATTCTTCTGACATACTTGTTGGCAATTACAAAAACCCCTCTCTGCTCACTTATCTAGACAAGTTCTGGGGAAAGTCCCAGAGGAAATGTTAGACAGAACTGGTGAGATTTTGTAGAGCTGGAAGTTGATAGCTCGGTTTTCTGGTTAAACTAGCTAGGAGGACCCACACTTTCCCAAAGGGTTGAGGACAGCGGATACCTCTTGTAAAGACTTCAGTGAACCATAATATTTGGCAAGGGAGGAGCAGCTCAGCAAAGGTTGAGGCCGTTTTGGCGCCGAGTTGTAGTTCTAGCTTGTTTCTAAAAGGACTGCGGATGTGAATCTCTCTAAGGATTAGGCCTCATAAATCTGTTACGTATACTCAGGGCTGCCTGGGCTTCTCCAAAAATTGCTTTCCCCATAGAGGCAGTTGCTACAGAGGGGTAAGCTCTGAGGGGTTTCTCTACCCTGTTTGGTTCGGAGAAGGACCTGAGAATTTGGATGCTCATCCAAATGCCCTCTTAGGTTGGAGGGCATTGTACAATCAGTGTCTCCCAATGGAGTGATGGACCCAGAAGCATGCAAAGAGTGGAGTAAAGAAGTTGAGCTTAATTCCCTTGAATCTCAAGGGAGTTGGCTTCTGATTCAAGGCACAGGCAAAGTTCAGATCTGCTCTCCCTTCAAGAAGCCAGTAAGCACAGAAGGCATCCAACTCCTTCGAGGGTCCATCCCAGGTCTAGGCGATTGCCTTGCTGGGAGATTATGGAGTGGGTACAGATTTGGAGCTGCTGCTTTCCCAGTCTGTGTTTATTTCCAACACACATATAGTTCCCATATTTGGGGAATGGATCAAAGGAGCGAAGGTGGTAGTGCCTGTCCAGATGCAGTGCCAGGCCCCAAGTGGTACCAAAACCATCTCTGTGTCCAGCTTCCAGCACATGGCAGCATCCCAGCATGGCTGGACTCCAGAGAACTTGGTAAGAGCCTGCCTCTGAGCTATCAATCAAAACCCCAGGTGAACTGGGGCATCAACACCCCCTGGACTTGGACTACCTAGGTCTGTTGGTGCTGGTCAAACGGGTCATGATCCTGTGTCATTCTGCTGTACTGTTACGGACCATGTCTAAATATTAATTACCCCCTAGGAGACTCAGCTGGGATCGGAGGCCCACTGCACTAGGCAGAGACGCTTGCTGCCCCAAGACCCTGCAGGCTACATTGAGGTGAAACACCAGCGTGGAGAGACCAGATCGCTGACTCTCAACCAGATGCTGAGGCACCCTGGGGTGCCTTGAGATCTTTTCAAGGGTGCCACACAATGTTCACACTGTTAGGTGTGCAAGCGTGATTCACAAGATAAACCCTGAGATTTCAAATAGGAATCCATTCTGGCCACATTCTGCTCTGCTGGGGTCTTTCCGAATTCTTTGTGGCAGAATTACTCTAGTATTGTTCTGCAGTCAAAAATAAGTGAAAACTAAGAGCTGGCATTTCTTGAGGGGAGCCCCGAGTCTATGAGAAGTGCCTTTAATCTAAAAAAGGTTGAGAACCATTGGGCTAAATGGCTCACCCCAGCAATCATGGCAGAGCCAGGCTGAGAACTCGGGTCTGCTGCCTCTCAATCCTATGAAGCACCTGCCCTCTGCTCTGCAAATTGGAAGAAATCCAGTAGGATGCAACAAATTTCCCCTTGCTCCAAAGAGCTAGCATGCAGTGCTGACTGCTTAGAAGACATTGTCCCTTATTGCACTCACTTAAGTACTTCAAAGCATAGAGCTATTCATTGATCAGTGGTTGTCTGTGCATTGAACTAGTAACCCCTCTTGCAGGCTCCCCTCTTAGAGAGTTATCTTAATAACATTGTTCTTTTAATGCCTTCCTTATGTTACTTCACTGCCTGGCCCTGGTAATTACCACCAGGGATTGAGTGGTGTGTACACACACACACACAAACACACTTGAACCGTTTGCCTTGTGCTTGGTGCAGTCCCTGCTTCCACGGAGACCCTCCTTCCTGCAGAGTTCACAGCACCAGAGCGGGTGTTGAAAAGCCAGGTGCAATGGCTGGCTATTGATTTGCAATAGACTTTGTTCAGATGGATAGCGCACAGACTTGTTAAGGAATCTACACATGTCCCTTCGAGGGCAAAAAGGGTCTGTCTTTGATCCCAGATGTGATGTATCTGCTTCCTATACCCCCATATTTATCTAGTCCATAAGACTTGAGCTGCAGGTTCCCCCCTCCTCTACCTCCCTGACTTCTTATTTTATAGTCACTATGCCTTGGGATAAAGATTTCATTAGAAAATCAATCTGTACATGCATAACTCATTGTTAAATGAATCAAGCACTCAACCTTGATTTCTATGAGTTTGAATTTTAAGATACCACCAAGAAATATGTTTTTTCCACTGCCATATTAGCATTTGAAGGATGAAAGTTAAAAGGCTGTTGAAGAAGCTGGTAGGCCTGAGTTCTGGCCCATTTTGGCAATGGGTTCTCATGCCCCAGGTCCAGTGTTTGCACGCCTTTTTCAAACAAGCTCTCTCTTTGGACCCGGCTTCGATCCCGTGTGCTTCCATCGGTATAGAGAAACATGCATGTAGGTAAAACTAAATGGTCTTGTCCTCTTTTGGCCTGATGGAGAGCTCAAGTGAGCCATTCATACGCTGGTTGTGTGATCGGGTCTCAGGACAGGTTTTTATGGTTCTTGGTGCTTCATGATTCGTGATGTACAAAGAAGAGACTTTGCCTGGGCAGCCGGAGACAGCTAAGGTGAGGAGGAATGACTCCCAGCTGTTCATTCAGAACAGCACCCTTCTGCCTGGTGGAGATCTCATTCATCAAGAGATGCCACTCATAATGTTGCCCACACGGACAGTCTCTGCCTCCCAGGAGGTGGTGGGTCCTGGCGTGTGAAAGCAGCTTGCCCGCCAGGTTGCAATTTAGGCCCATGTCTCTATTACTTTCAAATTTGATCAACAATTTTTTTTTCCCTAGCAAAAAGTAAAGACAGATGTGGCACAAAGGGCCACACACAGGCTCGTTTCCTCCAGGAAAATTTCAAGCAAGTAGAATGAGTTTTTTAACATGAAAAGCACTCTTGCATCGCTGTGTGCATCCATCCATAGGAGTGATTTGATGAAGAGAAGTAGCAGTTGCAAAGGAGGGCCCTGTGATTCAGATGAGAGGTGAGAAGAAAGGAATTGTGAAGTGAGAGCGGCAGGAGGAGGGGAGAAGGAAGAAAGGACAGAGCAGTGTAGAAACACTGACCAAAAGCAAATAATCTGGACCCAGGAATCACTGCTACGGTTTGTACCAGTAAATAGGCAGGGAGCAGCAGCTCAGCCCCAGACTGAGTTCTGCTCTCGAAACCCCCCCTGGGCCTCTGATCCCTTCAGGCCAAGGTATGTGACAAGCAAAGACTCACAAAAAATGAGGGCTGGAAGGGACCTCAGGAGGTCACATCTAGTCCAAACCCCTGCGCAAAGCAGCACCATCCCCAGCTACATCCTCCCAGCCAAGGCTTTGTCAAGTCAGGCCTTTAAACCCTCCCAGGATGGAGACTCCACCACCTCTCTGGGTAGCCTGTCCCAGTGCTTCATCACCCTCCTCATGAGAAAGTTTTTCCTAATACAGGCAGTCCTCGGACTTAGGACACAATTGGTTCCTGAAAACCGCTTCTTAAGTCGAAACGTTGCAACTCGGAACCGATTTTCTCATAAGAAACAATGTTATAAACGGGGGTTTCATTCCTGAACCAAGGCCCAATACCCTATTTTCACCAAAAATATCCCAGAATTTTGTACTCAATCAATTATTGATCTGCAATATAGCTACATTAATGTATTTATATTGTAAATAGCAACCGTATTGATTTGGAAGAACTTCTTTGAGGTGACTTTGCTGGACTTTTTGAAGGGCTCTTGGTTGGACATTTTGAAGGGTTCTTGGCTGGAGTCTTCTCGGGAGTCTTGGCTGCAGGGTTTCTTGAGTCTTTTCTGCTTTCTTAAAGAAAGCGTCCAAGGAAGTTTGGACAGACGTTCTCCAGGGAGATGGGCAATGCAGCGAACTTGTTCCCTGGTGTGGCGTCACGTCAGACCAAGCGTTGTAAAGTCAAAATTGACGTCATAAAGTCGAAACAGGGTGTCAATTTATAAATGTTGTAACTCGAAACGCTGTAACTCGAAACGTTGTAAGTCAAGGACTGCCTGTATCCAACCTAAACGTCCCTTGCTGCAACTTGAACCCATTGCTCCTTGTTCTGTCATCTGCCCCCACTGAGAAGAGTCCAGCTCCATCCTGTTTTGAACCCCCTGCAGGGAGTTAAAGGCTGCTATCAAATCCCCCTTCAGTCTTCTCTTCTGCAGAATAAATCAGCCCAGTTCCCCCAGCCTCTCCTCATAAGCCATGTGCCCCAGCCCCATCATCATTGTCATTGCTCTCCGCTGGACTCGCTCCAACTGGTCCACGTCCTTTCTGTAGTGGACACAGATGTGGCCTCACTGGGGCAGAACAGGAGGGAATCATTTTCTTTCCTTGATTTTTTTTTTTTTTTGGCAATGCTCTTATTAATGCAGCCCAGGATGCCGTTAGCCTTGTTGGCAACACGAGCACCCTGCTGACTCATACAGTGTGACAGTCTGTACAGAAATCACTCTGCCCACCACTGAAATGAGTCACCTTTCAGGCAACACATGGCTGCTGCTCAAGAGGACAAGGCAACCTGGGCCTCTGGAGATTTGCAGAGCAGTTGCATGTTCTGCTGTTTTTACCTGAATTGTTTTTGCTTTCTACAGGTGTCAAATGTGGGGGAGTTCTCTCAGCCCCGCACGGCAATTTCTCCAGCCCTAATTTCCCCGGCCTCTACCCCTATGACACTGAATGTACGTGGCTCATCGTGGTCACAGAAGGCTCCTCGCTCTTGCTAACCTTCAGTCACTTTGACCTGGAGTATCACGACAGTTGTGACTATGACTACATCAAAATCTACAATGGGGCCAGCGAGGACCAAGGGAATCTCCTGGGAAAGTTCTGCGGCAAGAGTTCCCCTCCGCAGTTCACATCTTCCTGGCACGTCATGTCCATCATCTTCCACTCGGACAAGCACGTGGCCAGTCACGGCTTCTCTGCAGCTTACCAGAAAGGTTAGGAGCGGCATTACGTGGAGTTTCCTCCAGAAGCTAACGAGTTCAAATGTGTTGGTGAAAACCTTCCAGGTTTGCTCTGTAGCGCTGGGCACAGAGCGACTGTAACAAGAGCAGTGTTGAAGGAAACGGGATCCACCAAAGAATTTCACAGCATGAAACGATTAGGGATAGGAAGACCCCCCCCCCCCCCCCCCCCCCCCCCCCACAATAGATCAGCTCTATGCATGAATCCAGCCTTTCCGAGGGCCTCTGGATGAGCTCTAGTGAAGATGCCCTAAAATCAATTGCAAGGCTTGTAGAAACTCCAGCTCAAAGTGCTGTTCTGGACTGAAAGGGGACCTGGTAAAATCACAGGGCTCTGGGGGCAATTATATTCAGTTTACCATGGAAAGGATGCTTTTCCTAACTGCCAGCCAGCAATTTCACCCTCTGATAGTCAAACTGGGTCCTTCCCTCCTCCAACTTCTGCAGAAAGGTCCTGCAATCTATTATACCAGTGTTGCCCAAACTTCCAGCCCCACAGGCTGGGTCAGTGACCCAGGATCAGTCCCTGGGCCAGATACCATGTGGGGCTTGTCCGTGGATGTGATCCGCACACCCAGATCTGGCCATGCACTGGCCTGAGCCCATGCTCCTGGCTCCGGCTGCATGCTGGCACAAAGGCCACATTCTCCAGCCTGCAGGGCTCCTCATGGGCTCAGAAATTTGGCAGAAGGGACGTGGCAATTAACACTGCCACGGCCCCAGATGTCCAGACCCTTGGGCCAGATGACTCAGCTCCACAGGCCAGGGGCTGAACACCCCTGCGTTATACCTGTGCCACTAACAGGATGCCAAGGGATAGCCGAGAGCAGAATTTGGCCCTGTAGAGTGAAATTAATGAGCAATGCCATTAATTGTGCAGGAGCATCATGTGATTGACCATTTTACATTGTAAGAAACAGGACCAGTACCAGGGCTGGAGCCACAGGAGTGTGTTGGTATAGAAGTGTCCCTGAATTAACATCTGAGCCTGTCTCCAAGCGTATGCACTATAAACGATTTGCTGTGATGTCAAGCCTTTGGTCATTGCCCGTCTACCATAAATTAGGGACTGCCTAAATTTTCATTCCTAGTTATGCTATTGACCAGTACGACTTTGCCTCAGTTTCCAGAGGAGGTAATGCATGCTCTGCTTTGCTCACTTGGCACAGAGCCTCTTTTCTTGCTGGAATGGGAGGTAGTGTCATGGTCTTCCCCTCGTATGGCATTTGTGACTCACGTGTTCCACTTTCTGAGGTTGGGACGTATGCCTGACTCTTCTACGCCCAAGCTCTGGGCTTTCTGCTTTCCTCCTGCTTTGTCTTGATGCCTCCTCATATGTATAACAGGACTGTGTTTGTTTCCAGATGTTTGCGGAGGGGTGCTCACAGGCCTTTCCGGAGGGATCACAAGCCCCGATTACCCAGAGAATTACCCCAACAATGCCGAGTGCCACTGGGTCATCCAGGCGGCTCCAAACTCTGTTGTCAAGCTGGTCTTCATTGACTTGCAAATGGAAAACAATGTGGAATGCAACTTTGATTACGTGGCCATCTTCGATGGGCCCACTCTGGGGGCCACGCACCTCAGCCGCTACTGTGGGAACATGAAGCCTCCTGATATCATCTCTTCCACCCACGAGCTCCTGGTGGTCTTCAAGTCAGACTTCAATATAGGAGGCCGAGGCTTCAAGGCCTACTTTTACTCAGGTATGGACAAACCCTGATGCCGAGTGAGTTCCCAGTACTGTGGGATGCCCTCTGTCCCTTCTCCTGCTCTCCTGGGCCATCATCCCTGGGTGTATGTCTCAGAAAAGGGGTAGAGCTTTGCTGCTTCTCCACCAGGTCACCACCGGTAAGTTTTTCCCTAGCCCCCCTAACTGCAGCATCTGAGCATCTCCCACATCTCTGTGCCTGTTCCCTTCCAGCCCCTCTGTGGGTTCAGGAACTTCGCTGTACAGATAGCGAATGGAGGTGCCAGGAGGTAAAGTGACGTGCCCAAGTTCACACGAGGAACCTGTGGCAGAGGCAGGAGCTGAACCCAGAGCTCTGGCTTCTAGTCAAGTGCCTTAGCAGCAAGACCATCCACCCCCGCTTGTCCCCTTCAAGTCAGTGGAAAAGCTCCCATGGACTTCAACGGGGCAACACCAGCCCATGACTCCTCTGAGCCTCCGCAAACCTGTAGGTCTGTAGAAGTGGGAGAATGAGCCTTTTTCCTTCGCTGTTTGAGTGCACTGAACCTCCCTGATAAAAAGCCTGCTTGTGCTAATTATCATCATGATTTTTTACATCCTCGGCAGTCTGCCACCATCGTGTAATGTCTTCTGTCCCCGCTGGCTCCTTGAACATACAGAGCATGTGGCTATGAGGTGTCCATGTAGAAACGAGTACGGTTGCAATAGATTTTAGGCATAAAGCAAGTGAACTGCCCACAGCAATCCTGACAGCCTCCCTGGGCTTGGGTTGGTTTGGTAAAGCACTTTCCCCCTTTCTTTTCTACCCAGCCGAATGCCAAGAAGTCTACACAGTCGTCAAAGGGAATTTCTCCAGCCCGCAGTATCCCAATTTTTACCCCAACAATATCAAATGTCAGTGGACCATCCAGCTGCCCCCAGGATACCGAATCAAAGTCTTCTTCCTGGACTTGGATCTGGAGGGACGGAACAGCCTGACAGATGGCTGTGATTACGACCATCTGGCAGTGTTTGATGGAGGCAATGAGAAGGCTTCCCTGCTGGGGAAGTGGTGTGGGAGAGAGATGCCATCTCCCATAATCTCCAGTGGAAACAAACTGCTGTTGGTCCTCCACACAGACAGGAACACAGCCAACCGGGGGTTCTCGGTAGTGTATATTGGAGGTAAGGCAGCACTGTGGAGCTGTTTTTTCCTCTTCCTGTGGGCGTGCTGCTATTGCTTATTCTTTTGCTGTGACATTTTGGATGCGTTTCAGGGCAAAGCAGCCCTGAAGCCTGAGTACAGAGACAACCAGGGAAAATGAGACAACTTGGAGTTCCAAAACTGAACGCGGCTTTGTGCACTTGCATTTGTGCCCTGGACTTGCACTAATTGCACATGCAAACCAGGCAGCTGTGCGCACAGACAGTCAGGGAGATGTGTAACCGGCTCTTTGCATGTGCAGTTAGTTACTCAGCTGGAGCTTTGCACTCCTAGCAAGCGCCCATGGATTAGGCACTCAGGTGTTCATGCCTCTCCGGGTGGAAGTGAGTGCAGTGTGTCACAGGGTTGGTCAAACTCTCCTTTGGATGTGTGCTAGGATGCTATTTGGGTCCCGTCACACCCAACCCATTAGCCATTAAGCTTTGCCAGTCATAGCAGAGCCCAGTGCTGCCTGCAGCTCAGTGTGTCTAGGCATATTCTTGAGATGCATGCCCTGCCTAGCACCTCTTCGAAGGGCTGAGACCTCCTGTGCCCAGCAGTCCTCAGCCTGTGACTCACGGGCAACATCGAGATCCCCTGACAGTGTTTCTGGCCACAGGTGAATTTTGCTGCCGGGACTGCGTGTTTCTTCAGAGACAGCAATGTCTGATGTTGCCTGCGGGGCATCGTGTGCTCAGCACTGCTCCCCATGGACTGCTGAAGTTGGGGGACCGCGGATTAGATTTGGAGATCAGTGCAGACCCCCTAGCTTGGTGCTTGCTTAAATGCCTGCTCTCCCAGAGCGCTGGCCTTGTGGGTGCTCTGGCGTAGGAGTTTACCTCTTCAGGTGCACGAGTGGTGTCTGCCCAGGGGCTCCAGGGGTGGCCATCTTCAGGCGGACACCAGGTTTGGAAAGGTTCCTAACACAACTGCTCTGTACTTTATATGGTGCAAGAAAACAATTTTTCTCTCTCTCAGACTCACTCACTCACTTTATTTCCTGCCTCAGTTTCCCTGTCATTCCTGACCATTCTTTGGGATGTGATCAGAATCTGCTGCAGCATCCAGGATCCCACCTCCCTCCTGCAGCTGCGAACGACTTCTCTGAATCATGGGCCCTCTTCCTTTTGCACCTGGTTTCCTCCTCCTCTCTCTTGAAAATGGCTGGTATCCTCCCTTGTACAGCTCCCACTCCTTGCTACCATGTGCTCCCCGATCTGTTGCTTAGTTTCCAGCCTAGATGGCAGAACCTGTCTTCTGCCCCCCCAGTACAGTGGTTCTCAACCATCTTTGTACCGGGACCCATTTGTAGACATCAATGACCCATCCCGACCCAGTAAGTAGTTTAAGTAGAAAACACACATGTATGTTGGCCCCAAAATACTTATTAGACACTACAGGTTAAAGCAGCTCAACCGTCTTAATTTTAAAGACAGAAATCAACATCAACAGGAAAACATGAACAGCAGTAGCAACGTGTGGCTCTTCATTACTCCCAAGTGACATTCGTCATTGTGCAACCTGCACAGTGCAAATTCCCGGTGCCTCTCGGTCCCAACCCACAGCTTCCCAGCACTGCTGGTGCCCCTCACTCCCAACCCACTTCCCTCTGCCCCCAGGCCTCAGCTCCCCAGTGTGTGGGGCAGCGTGTGTGTGGAAAAGGGGGGATATGCGTGGGGCATGCGGGGGCCTGTGCCCCCCCCCCAGACTTGTAGATTTGTGCACCGACAGCAGGCACGGGGCTACAGCCTGGCATGGACAGGAGCTGCCTCTGTGGCCCAGTGAGCAGGACTCCATGTGGGATGGCAAGACTCATTGCTGCCACTGCCACCGCTAGGACCCCCATGCAAGCCATGCCACCAGCACCACAAAGAGTAATGGATGGGAGGGTCCGTGCTGCCCTTGCCTCCTCCAGCCACTGGTGCACTGGGCCACAGCTCTATCTTGGCACCACGGCCCAGCCACCACCGCCGCGCTCCTAAGGCTGCCCACTTTGCTCACCACCCCACCTCCCTTCCAGAGTCAAGCCGTGGCCTGAGGGGAGCAGGTGGGCCATGGTGGCAGGGTGGAGTTGCAGTCTGAAGGGAGAAGCTGGCAGTGGGAAGAGGTGAGAGCAGTGGACCCCCCCCCCCGCCATCCATTATTCTTCCTGTAGCTGATGGCATGGCTGGTGCAGGAGGTCCGGAGGTGGTGGCAGCAACAAGTCTCGCTGCCCCACTCAGTTCTCTTGTGCCAGGCCCTGCCTGCTGAGCCATGGAGGTGGCTCCTGCCCATGCTGGTCTGGTCAGGCTGAAGCCCCCTGCCCGCTGTGGGTGCACAAATTTGGGGGGACACGTGTCCCCCCCATGTCTCCCTGACATGTCTGTACCACCCTTGCCCCCCGACATGTCATCTATGCCCCCCGCCCCATAGACAGAGCTGCAGGAGCTGCTCTCCAAGCTGCCTGGGTGCCACGTGCATGTACACGTACACACATGCATATGGCACCCCCTACCTGATCGCCCTCCTCCCACTCCCCCCGCTCCAAGCAGCCCCTCGCAGGCTGGAACTTTGCCAGGGTGCAAGGGGAAACCCGCAGGTTCCCACATTTTTCTCCTTTAAAGGAGAAAAATCAATGATTTTCTGCATTTCCCTGTTTTTCCATGATTGTTTATGACCCCTTCATATATTCTTGTGACTCACTTTTGGGTTGTGACCCATGGGTTGAGAAATGCTGCCCTCGCATACCCATGCCATTGCCAAGGGAGACCCATTCAAATGTCAATGAGTTGTGACAGCCCCCAGCTCAGACAGGGCTATGTGGCTAATCCACTGAGGACCCATTCCCCACTCCCCCAAACCATCTCTAGGAACAATTTAACTCCTTGAAGTCAGCACAAGATGAAACAGGTAAATGGAGTCCCCTGCCATATGGCATACAAATAACACAGACATCTTCCACGTTCCCCTCAACAGGAAATATTTCTGCTTTCGTGACTTCAGCTGGGAGTCAGAACTGGAAGGACATATTTTAAAAATGAAGACTGTGAGATACAGTGCCCCTGTTCACTGCTCAAGGGCTCCAGACTCTTCCCAGCTCTCAACCAAAGCACAAGGTCACGTTCGTGCCGGGTGCCTGCTTACCTAGGGAGCGCTACCAGAGATGAGTTCAGCCAACACAGCGCATAGATGAGTGGCAAACTATGACCAAAAAACACAGTATTTCCTTCCCGTGCACCCAAGCCTGATCTTCATCTGCTAATTTATCACTATAACTTTTACAGTAAATGACTTCTTTTTTTATTCTTTAAATACTGCCCTTACCCTGATGGGGAGGGCATCCTATGAATGCCTTATAACAAGGTCCCCAGTGCCCTCTTGCCTGTAGTGAGCTCTCAGAAGCCAGGTCCACAGGCGAGGGCTTTGGAGGAGACGCCGATGGGTGGCCATTTATCTTACAGGGCCCTAGGGTGGGGTTTCTTGTACCAGCCTCAGAGCCCCATTGGCACTGGCTGGTGCTGGAGAGGGGATACGGGGCTAGATGGACCATGAGCGTGAGCCAGCTTGGCAGTTTCATTGTTCCTCCAGGGGGTTCACAGCCTAGTGGCAGCGTGGCTTGGCTGCCTGGCTGGAGCTTTTTGAGGTTGGACTTTGCTCTGAATTCTTGCTGGAGGCCTTGGCTTACTAACCCAGCTGTAAAGAGGTCTGGGGTTATTTGGACTGAGTCATCAAAGGCAACCAGATGTGATGCTGGCCACATCATTCCCTCGCGTGTCACAGACTACCAAAAGTGATGTGCCCAATGTGGGACCTACCTGAGGTGGACCTTCGACTTTGTAATGCACTCTTCCTTGTCCTGGCAGTTCACTCTAGAGCTGGCACCCAGAGTAAGGCTGAATGTCCCTGACTTGTGTTGTGCTGGAAGTCAGCTCCTGCAGCTTTAAGTGTCACCTGAAGTGTCACAATGGGACCTGGTTGAACCTGCTCTTGCATTATGATTTATGTCAGCCAAGCCACCTACATCTGCAGGGGCATCTCCTGCCCTCCAAACAGCTTGGAGCTAAGAGAACAAGCTCCATCAGGAGACCGTTTTTCCTGACCTTCAATGATCATGAGCAGTCGCAACGTGACTCCCCTTACGCGTCCTACCGTGAGGTCTGTCTAGACCTCACCAAGGGTTTCGCTCTCTCCTGGACTGTTCTCTTGGGCATAAATTGTCCCACGTACTTCGTGTTCGGGGGGAGATTTTATTTGCCAAGCCATTCAAGTAACACAGTGTTACCAACAAGTGTCAAGTCTTTGGAGCAGGCTCAAATCTGCTTAGTCTCTCTTGCAAGTTAAAAAAAAAAATCATGGCTTTGGCAGGCATCATTTTTGCAGCTGCAAGTTCAAAGCTATGGAGACGGTGGGTGGGAGGCTCAGCCCCACGCTCCCTCTCTGTACAGTGCTTCTCATATATTTGTCAACCTTTGCGCCTCCTCAAAAGCTGGCAAATTTATGGTATTTGCTGTATTTCAAGATAATTGCGTTTGAGCTGACCTGGGTGTCGGGGATGATTCATACCCTATTTCTGCACAAGATGATCCTCTCTGGGTATCCAGGAGGCTACTAGTAAAGGAGCAGCCTGCTGTGTGTTTGCAGATGGGACTAGCACCGTGTATGCTGTGCCTGCGTGGTGAGACCACACGTGTTAAGTAACCCAGTTGGAGGTGGAGAAGAGCAGCCACTGCTACTGTTGCTGTCATCAAGGTGGAGCCCGGGTTGTGATTACAAACCTGATGTGTGCAGGGTTTTATTACCCAGCCGCAGAAGTTAATTCCTGTTCAAACTTGGTGCAAGAGCTTCCAAAACCCTGCTGGAGCCTGGCCATTGCTCTACAGTTCTCCCAAGGAACAAACCTCAGTATTTTGCTGGTGTCCCCTGGCACAGGAGCTTCCTGGGCTCTGCCGCCCACTATTTGCTAGCAGTGGCTGGGTTCAGACACAGCTGTGACTCTGTAAAG